AGAGAGAGAGAGAGAGAGAGAGAGAGAGAGAGAGAGAGGAGATCCATGTTAAAATGATTGCTTTCAAAGGGCAATTACAATTTAGCATGTCACAAGTGGCACATAGTGATAGACACTATAATTGAGTGAGTACTATGCTGTATATATACTTGTGTCAAGATTCTCACATATGCCATTAAAGTCTCGAAGAGGTTGTTTCTGTTAAGTGACAGTACTTTTTTTCAACTTTCTATAGCGATCCATGCTGTCATGTAAAATTAACATTCCTTGATACTGGTTTATCCATGCTGACATGTAAAATTAATATTCCTTGATAATGGTTTATCCACTGTGCAGTATGCTAAGTTTGTCAAGCCAGCTTTTGATGATTTTGTCCTTCCATCCAAGAAATATGCTGATGTAATTATACCTCGTGGTGGAGATAATCATGTAGCAATCGATTTAATTGTGCAACATATTCGCACAAAACTTGGTCAGCATGATCTCTGCAAAATCTATCCAAATGTGTATGTCATTCAATCCACATTCCAGGTATCCCTTTTCTGATTCTTCCTTTTAAGGTTGGGGAGGAAAATATAAGGGGAGGAAAATATAAGGGTGGTTTGTTATGTATACAAAGCTGTCCTTTGTTCTGAGATGTATGGGATATCTTCATGTTTAATGACCCAGTGTCAATTTGCACATAACAACTGCTGATGAACAGATACGCGGGATGCATACCTTAATTCGAGACTGTGAAATTTCAAAGCATGACTTTGTCTTCTATTCAGATCGACTTATTAGGCTGGTATTTTTTCTTTAATTGTTTCCAAATTTGGTGTTTATAACATTCATTAATGATTGCTGTTTTCAACAAGAGGGAAAAAATCATCAATGTAATGAACACTTTCTCAGGTTGTGGAGCATGGCCTTGGACATTTGCCATTCACTGAGAAGCAGGTGATCACACCTACAGGTCAGCTGAGAAAAGAAGCAACTGTCAATTTTTTTGTTTTTGTTGACTGCTAATATCTAGATGTGTATCAAATATTAGATCTTATGCCTATGCATATTGTACTAATAGATATTTGTTGCATCTCTGCTTACTATGGTCTGTAAGGTATTATTTCTTTTGCTTATTCCAGTCAAATTATAAATTTACTCTGTCACTTTTTACAAGATATCATGATATTCAAAAGATAAGTGGAGATGACAAAACCATTATTCATGCTTCGAACTCAGGAGTGTTTGCTTATTATTTTGTTATCCATTGTTTGAACTACGTTTTCTTGCTGAGGGAGACTTCTTCTTTGCTGTTCTTAACTTTGCAAAAGACCATAGGATACAGTATGTTGGCTACAGATTCTTTGATCTTTTACTGTATTTCTTGCTTACCTGCATCTCTGACTTGTGTGCCTAATGATTTTTCCAAATCAGAAGATGTTTATTGTTGTGGGTTTGTCTTGTTGTTGATTCCCGTCTTGTCTTACATTTTACACTCAGAGCCTTCTTCTGTTATATTCATCATTTAGATTCTGATCCTGTCATCTCATTTTTTGCTTTCAACCTTTATCATTATTGCACTGTATAAGGAGTTGGCTTACAGGAGTTTTATATGATGTTCTCATTCTTCTTCCCCTCTTGTTTGTGTCATCCTCTGGATGAGTTAAATGGATTATCTTTTCAAGATGTCTTCAATATCTTTTCAAGTTTTCTTCAAATAGTGATTTGAGTGCTGGATCTCTCCGGAGCTTGGCATTTAACACATATCCAAGGGTGATGCATCTGTACCATATGAGAAGAGTTGTTTGCTAGTCACATACTGAATTTTTATGGATATAGATATGCATTAAGGATTCTACTCTTAGGGTAAGAATTTGGAAGCTTCCATTTTCTCCCTTGGACTAAAAATTAACTTTGATTCTCTTATACTATTTTTTGTTATAAACATTTCCTGCTAATCGGAGTCTTTGCATCTTGTTAGTTTCCTTTTGTTTCCTTCTATGGTACTAAATAACTTTTTGATGTTACTGGTCCAGGCTCGGTCTATACAGGAGTTGACTTTTGCAAGAAACTGTGTGGGGTATCCATTATTCGAAGGTGAACCCCGATGAATTATCATATAAGCTTCTTAAGATAGTTGCTGCAATCTTTTTTCCTCATTAGCAAACCCATGGCCTAGGGGTTGGGATATCTGTTTCAGTGGTTAGGACGAAAGGGCCTCAAAGCCCTTGTATATGGTAGAAATGCAGCTTATTCAACCTAAAGTAAAACAGAAGGATTAAGCCTCACTATATTCTTCTACATAAGGATTAACCCTCGCTATATTCTTCTACATAAGGATTAACCCTCGCTATATTCTTCTACATAGATAGTCTAGACTTTTTCTTCGAATTTATGCATTAGGATTTAAACCTTACCTGGAGAAAAAGTTCGAATTGGCTTTTCCTCTTTGTGGATGAGTTGTTATAAGACATATGAGGAAAATTTTGCACCACATTCTTTTATATTTTCATCTGTTGTGGTTTACATTTTGAATTAACAAACATCAAATAGGTTTTTATCATCTTGAATGATTTGACATAAAACCTTGCACATTAGTTATAATTTCCACCTTTTTCATCTATGACAGCTTAGGACCTTAAAATTGTATTTATCGAAAACATGCCTAGTAGGTTATTTTCATCTGGAGATGTTGTTCTGGGACATAGGGGAAGACTTTTCAAAGTTAGGTATAGTTTTTTCCTTTGTCTATGGCTGTTTAGCTTCTCAAAAGAGCCCAAATATATGATGTGACATAAGGCATTGCACAGGAACTTGCAATTCTGTGTTGGATAATATATGCCAGTGCTTCACATTGGCAGAAAATGAAGGTAGATTTCTTATTTTTGCTTGGTTGCAGTGGGGAAAGCATGGAGAATGCATTGCGTGCATGCTGTAAAGGAATTAAGATAGGTAAAATTCTGATTCATCGTGATGGAGACAATGGCAAGCAGGTAATTTCCCTATCTGACATGATGCTTTGAGTTCTTCTCTAAATAGGAGGCGAGCAACTAATGCGTCGACATACATCTCTTGTGTAAAATTAGCTTATATATGAAAAGCTGCCGAAAGATATTTCTGAGCGGCATGTCCTGCTTCTTGATCCTGTGCTCGCTACAGGTAAAACATCACATTTTCTTGATATGGAGCCCAAGTTGTTGGATTTTTTTTTGGTTCAGTTGTTTGGTAGATGTTGCTACTTGCTAGTGCATGGTTTTTCTTGAGAATAGTTTTCTATTTGATCCTATGAGTTGTTTCTTTTTTCTTCTTTTTTTCCTTTTTCCTTTTTCCTTTTTCCTCTTTTCTTTTTTCTGTTCTGAGATAGTTGAAAAGCAACCATTGGAAAAGGGCCCTCAATTTTTTCCAGTACTTGAGTTTGAATTGACTATAAGTGGCGAGCAAAGTTACCTGCTCCGATTCATGCTTCCCTTGCTTTGGTATTTCTGGAGAAAGAAAAAGAAAAACATTCAAATCTGCAGAGCTGTTCATGAACCATGTCTTCATCTCTGGGGACAGTTTTGTGAATTAGTTACTCCATGGCACAAAGGAAACCTATCTTACATAAAAAGGCTCCCAGTGAAACCATATTGAACTAAAACTGGATATGGGTTTATTGTCTTTTTAATTAGAAGTTATCAATGCCAAATTTGTGCATCCTCAAGCAGCAACCTATCTTTTGAACATTGTTGAATTGATTACCTTCTCTTTGCAGATGAATTGCTTGGCATATTTTGATCTTTTATCATATCTGACAGACTGACTTCCTAGAGAATGTACCCAAGATGCACAACTCAAGTACCATATTCTGATCAATTGACCGGCGTCCAATTTGTCTCTTTCCCTGATGAGAATTTTCGCAAATATTGAATATAGATTTTTGGATAAACAAATGCATATCTACTTGCTTTACTGTGAAAAAATCTCTGTTGTTTTACTTGTTTATCATGGTATATGGTACACTGCATGGCACCTACAATCTGTTTCCAGTGATAGGGTAGAGGATAATGCATTAGGAGGTTTACCTATCATCATGAACTGCCATTAATCTTCACTATTGCTTACTGGGAATGGACGGTGGACATTTCCATGGTGGACACCATATCCCATACACCACTGATGTATATTTTTATTTCCCTTGCTCAAAGTGCTTTCATTTTTCAGAGTTTGCTTTATTAGTTGTGCATGCAATGGCAGTAAAAGTTGACGTCCTGTTCATGTCTCTTAGGTAACTCGGCTGGGCAGGCAATAGAACTTCTCATACAGAAAGGAGTTCCCGAATCTCATATAATCTTTCTCAATCTTATCTCTGTACGTAAACCTGAACCCTAAATTTATATGTGGAATTGATCTCTGACATTTGAACTCCACATTCAGGCCCCTGAGGGTATCCATACCGTTTGCAAGAGATTTCCATCCTTAAAGATTGTTACTTCGGAGATTGATGTGGCCTTGAATGAAGAGTATCGTGTTATTCCAGGGATGGGTGAGTTTGGCGATCGCTATTTCGGCACTGATGATTGATTCTTAGGAGACTACAACTTTGCACAAGTTTGGAGGTTTGGTCTTTCTCACTAGTAGATATTTGATTTGATTGCTGCATTCCTTTAATGTGTAATTGGCTATATGCCTAGTTGTCATGGAAACTGCAGCACGGTGTTTTCTCCTACTGTAATATGTGAGAAAATGTTCGAAGCTACATATACACCAGGCAGATGGTGTTATATTTATTTCTATAGAATTTCATAATTTCAAGTGGATTTATCCTTACATATTACTGTGACGAGGGCCACCATCATATGCGTGTTTGTCTGAGGTTCTTCTGGCAGTCTTTATGGTGCTATCGGTCTTGACCATGTGTTTGTGTATTCAATTCACTTGCCTTAATATGGCAGAGAATAGGGTGACAAAAACCTGTTACTTGAACATGTTATTGCTCAGAAATTGCTTTGGGCTTGTAGCATCTTGGGACTTTTTAAATGCTCTCCCATTAAAGTTGAAGTAACCTGCACTGCAACAATAGAACATGTAAATGATGAACCAATAAGTCAGGAAATGTATACAATGAGACAATTTAGTTGTGATACAAGGAGGTCACAATCATCATTGACCATTAGATTTGAAAATGGTTGATTGAGGATGTGTCATTGTTTACGCACAAAGTCCAAAACAAAATTTTTCATATATTGTAATACATTTTTTATTGAATTTCATATCTAATGGCTAAAAGTGATTGTGAAATCTATATACCAAAAATAGATATTTTTATAATATATAAAAAATAGATAGTCTCATAATATATAATTGATGGGAAACCTAGCCAAAAAAAAAGTGTGTATATGTTCCACTCTTTTGCCAAAAGAAAGACTACCTAGCTCACATTAAAAAAAAACGTGTAATATATGTGGAGAAAAAAGAAAAAGAAAGAGGCGAGTACTTGTGGATAGATCGTAGGTTTTGGTTTGTTGCTTGGTTCAGAACCTTGTTCCTTAAAACAAGCTTAGGTTGCTGTGTGGTTTAGTATCAATAGCATATTTGAGTAACTTTTGAACGTGAAATGCTTTCTCCTTGTTTATATGTCTTGAGATTGAAATGATCAATTGGAGGGTTTTTAACATCAAAACACTCTTCTAGAAGATTTTTTATGTGTTTCTTAGTATAAGGTTGACACCTTATCTAACTTTTTTCTATAAATAAATTGATGTTACTTATGGGGTGCGGTTTGTATAGAGCTTACTTTCAAATAATATCAAGAAATCTAGTATCAATATCGGAAATCTCTGTGATACCTTTAAAATATATTTTCATATTTATTTATAAAATTTAAGGCTTCAAAAATAGTGTAGATAGATAGATTTATGAAAACTTGAAAATCTTGAAAATTGACGGTCCAAAAATATGTTACAAAATACACTATTTCCAAAACTTGAAATCCATTTTTTTCTCGTATCTATGTATCTTGATGTCGAGATGGACAATTTGAAGATATTTGAGCATCAAAACAACCTCTTCTAGTGAAATTTTTGATGTAGGCTCAAATATGATTATTTAGAGCCTCGGCTCTATGTAAACTTTTCTCGTTACTTATTCCCCAAAACAGGGGAACATAAAGGGTAGTGTGTAAAGCGAAATTTATCTAAACACCCAAGTGAGACGAATTCTTCAACATTCTATTCATATATTTTGATTTAATTCAACATAGTCATTAAACAATGCATGTTCATGACTTGTAATAGTGCAAATACGTAAAATGTTAAAGACTTTAACTGTTATCGGTATTTTTATAAATATTCCTAAATAAATTTATATTGATAATCTATTTAAAGAAATGAAATTATTAATTTGATGGTCAAACCACATTCCCTGTTGCTTTCTAAATGGTAGTGAACTTGAGTACTTCATTAAGATATGGAAAAAGATATCGTATAGCCCTTGTCTTGCGAGTAAAAGTTTTCATATGGCAGGGTAAAGCCATAATATCATGTCTTGCGTTCTCTTCTTACCACGAGTAAAGGTTTTCTCCATTGATCTATTTAAATAAGTAAAATCTGACTAATTGGGGGAATTGATTCATATGGCAGGGTAAAGCTAAATTATCAAAATGTCTTCGTTTGTTTAGAGTTGTCAAACCTGAGAAGAGACCAGCACAATTATTTTTACTATATTTTAAAGAGGTACATGAGTGAAACGAAATTAAAACAGTACCACTCTTTATGTTAAATGAAATGATTTGACCGCCTTAATAAATTTAAAGTGATATGACCATTTAATTGATATCTAGTAATAATTTAAAGACTGTAATTAAATTGATTTTAGTAATTCACCCAAAACAAGAGCCACGTAATAAAAATTTCATTGCTAAAAGAGTATTTAGAAACGAGGTAATTTAGCTTAAATATCATCATGTTTAGTACTAGAAAATGCCCTTACGTGCATGTTCCTTTTCCAAAAATTGCATTCGGAACTTGGAGTTCTTGTTAGAAAGAGTAGGTGAAATAGGGGCCGAAGGACCGATGGAATTCTTCGTATTTTTGAGTACGCAGAAGCTCTTTCTCAAGATAATATTTGCTGCATTTGTGTATTGTAGACAATGTACATCAAATGGGCAATTTGTCATCGAGATACAAGAAAGTAAAAGGTTTCAAATTTTGCTTTTAAGTTGCTTATGAACTAGAAAGCCTATTTATTATATGTAATAACGTACTATAACAGTAGAGAGAGAATAGATTTCAACTTTAGAGAGAGAACAAAAAAATTTGATAGAGAGAAAGTGTAAGAGAAAAAAAATGGGGGAAAAAGCCGAACCCATTTATAGAGGTTTTGGTGGCTTTTGGAAGTAACTTTTCATTTGAAACAAGGACTGTTCACTATGACATGTGACTGTTGGAAACCCAATGGTCACTATCCAACAGCTTGTAATTGCCACAACCGTTAGCCAATAGTCACTTCATCACAACGGCTAGTATCACCGCTATTGGATCTCGCACGTTCATCCCCATCCGATGCACCTGGTCATGTCTCGTAAAAATGTGACCAGTCTCGTTCCCGACCTGGTCATGTCTCTTTAAAATGTGACGAGTCTCGTTCCCGACCTACACAGGTGTTTAGGAAAGGGGTGCCTCATGCATTGATGAGGGCACGCGAAATGCAAAATGCATTATCAAGCGCCCTTGCACCCTCGTGCTCCACACTAGCACCCAACCTTTTACCTTTGTTCTATGAACACAAGGTATGAGCGTGCTCCTATACAAATATAATTGAATCCTCACTATCTATTTTAATGTGGAACCAAAACTCACTTCTTTCTCTCTCAAGATTATTATATACTTAGCAAAACCATATTAAACCTTATATTATTACAAAATATAATATAGTATTTTTCAAACCCAAAAATACTAACATTTTTTTTTACTATTTCAAAATAATATGAAAAACATAAGAAAGCGTATATTAGTTATATACCATGAAGGTATTTTTCAATTTGAACATTCACTTAAAGTATGTACAACAAAGTCCATCAAGTTTCATGGTAGGGTCTAACTTTAAACTATATTCCTTATTTACCAAACCAATAGTATAACTCAAAAATAATATCATGGTATTTTTAGCTGCCGGTACATTTTGGGCCTTGTGCTTATATCTTGATTTCATAAGTGCTCTAGAGATAAGTCTCATCTTATATTGGAAGCAATCTCACTTCTCACTTATATAAGTGTGTATATCAATTATGGATTTGTATTTAAAACACTCCGATTTATAAAAGTCATGTACAATATTAAGAGTCAAACTCAACCTACTAACATACAACTCATCCCTATACTTATCCACTATATGGACTTCCTTGGTATGGGTACTTATAATATTTCAACGACTATTAACCAAACCAATCATACACACAACTTGTCACTACTAAATTGAACTTAGAATTTTGAGGTTACAAAAGATTAAGTTGGATTCCCATTGTAGATGTTTACTTTATGGACTTTAGCCCCATTCTTTATGACATCTTACCGATATCATCCCTTGCAAGGTCTTCTGTCAAAAGATTGACCAAATTTTCTTTTGACCTCACATATTCTATAATAATCACTCCATATTTTATTATATTCTAATGGACTTGCGCCGGCGCACATTACTTATGGATTTAGCATTATGTACGTCATCTCATGCTTCCGTAACAACAATATGATTATTATAATTTATTGTGATCATAGGTATTGGTTTTGGCCTATTATATAATACGTCCTTTAGCCATTCTTCTTTTTGTCAACCGAGTCTAAAGCCATAATTTTGGACTTTATAGTTGAGTATATGTTATGAGCAGTCAATTATAGTGCGTGTTTGCATGGCCAAATAAGTCTCACTCAGAGACGTCAGAAGTAGGTTAGAGTTGAATTAGTCCTGGTTGTTATTTTGTGAACGTGGAGTGGGTTTAGACGATTCGCTTGGTTAGTAGTTGCTGAGTTTTAGGGATTTAGTCGTTGGTTTAGGAGATTATCTTGGTTAGTAGTTACTGAGTTTTAGGGATTTAGTTGTTGTTTTATTTACTATATAAGTTTGTAATTCTGGTTTAATGAAGCATGAGATATTTTATTCGGCACTTAATTGTGTTATTGGAGGCATCTGGTTTCCGTCGAAGCAAACCAACGCTTTTTCTTATCCCTTCTTATCTAATCTTCTTATTTTCCTATCCATCATAGGGAAACATAAGAAGAAACTTGCCCTAAAACCCCAACCACCTTCCGCTAACCGACCAGAAACTCGATTAGTTACGTTAGCATATAACAGTTTGGTATCAAAGCCAGGGATGGAGGAGCAACGACTGGGTCGTCTGGAGGTTGAGGTTAGTTCTCTAGCCACAGGGCAGGAGAGAATCCTCAAAGAAATGCAAAAATAGTTCGCCGAGATGAATACCAAATTCGACCTCATTGCTGTTAATCAAACACGAGAAAGTGGGGACAGTTCCAACAATTTAAATTGAATCAATGGTAACCATAACATCGGGGGTGGAGGAACCAAATCGTGAAGGCTACAACAGCATTTACTTGCCTAAGCTCATGAACCTTGATTTTCGTCCCTTCAATGGGATGGAGGACCCAACGGGCTGGATCTGCAAGGCATACAGGTTTTTTGAACTTCACCACACTCTTGAAGACAATAAGGTGTCGTTAGCCTCTGTCAATCTCGAATGGGATGCCCAACTGTGGTACCAACTGCTGAAGGAGGAGTTTCCCATCATAGCATGGGCGGATTTCAAACACGGC